GCCAATTTTAGCTGTCTTTTGTAAGCCATTAGTTTGGACCTTTAGCAAGAGCAATGTGTTCCTCTTACAACATTCGCTGGCAAAGAAGAAGAAAGAGGGAGGAAAGGAGAAAGAGAAAAAGTCAGAGAGAATGAGATGGCAGAAAAATGGAAAGAAGAGATGGCAGAAAAAGGAAAAAAAAGATGGGTTATCTCTAGCTTCATCTGTTCATGTTTTCAACTTCACTCATTACTGGCATGTATTGTTGAAGATACATCTTCTGACAATCAGTTCTCTGCTTCTGTTTCAGATATAATGCACTTCTCTTGCCCCACTTCCAATTCTTCACAAAATCTTGACTTAACTGATTCCCCTATTTTAATTTTTCCTACTGGAGAGAACCATTGCTAGCTCTTTCCACCTGCATTTATAGCAGCAGGTTCAATTCTCTGACGCCCCCACCCTCAATCTCTCAAGCTTTGCTCTATCCTGTAATTGAGCCGTCACAGCCAGTGAAGAAAAGCAAGAGAACAGCATTCCCCCCCCCCTCCTCCAAACTGCTACAGCATTAATTAAGTTGCCAGGGTAGCCACCTGCTTGCCTTCACCCTGCCGTTCCAATGCAACTTTGCACCACCTCCAAGGCCTGACTTCTGTGTGGGAAGACACAGAAGTTTAGGGAAATGTTCGTCTCCCCACCACAGCTACCCTAGAATAACAAAACCTTTTTCACATCTCTTGAATGCAAAAATACTATACCAAGTGGACCTGCCAAGAGAAAAATCATCTGCACGGAGAGAGAAACAATAAGAAAGATCTTAGCAACAGGGAGATAAATATATTTAGGTATGGTTTCCACAATTCTTTTCTTTCTACTCTGTTGAAAATTATTTCTTAACAAAAAAAAAACTTCCAAAATGTTATTTCCCACCCTCACCCCCATGCTCCCTCTTTGTACATATGGGGTTAGGAAGGAATATTTCCTCTAATCAGAAGAGATGATACACACAGGGCACTATGCCACCACTTTTTTTTGGGGGGGGGGCTAACATGTGTAACCCTGACCAATGTGATTTGGCAGGGATTGAGAACCTGGAATCAGGAAGCCTCATGTAGACTCTGTCTGCTTTTCTACAGACACCCAAATTCAGGGATTCTATAAATTCTCATTTGATTTAATCTACTGATGTTGGCTGAGCAAAAGAAAATATTGTTTCCATATAACCCAGACAAGTCCTGAGAAGCCATCAGCAAAATTCCCTCTAAATGGAGTTCTTCTTATGTTGCTAATCTTCTGGGGGATGTATCAAGCACCAGCAGCATGAGGAAAGCAGTTGCTTTATATTCTGTTCTGAGCAGCCTAAAACCACCATTTAAATCATTCCCTGGAACCGAAAGCATTTAAAATAGCAATTTCCCACAGAGACCTGCAGCAATGCTACATTGGGGCATTTTGAGGAATATTTAAGAGGTCACAAATGTGCAGTGATGCAGAGGAGTGGAAGACCAGTTGTAGTTGTGGACTCTGGCAATTGGTAACTGCTAAATGATGACATGTGATAATGTCAGCTCCTTCTCTTTGCAATCATTAAATAAATCCATGTGACACCTAGACTGGCTTGCAAATAGTTGGGACCTCTCTTTTTTATATATTACTTGTTAAAAATATATATTTTACATGCATTAATGATCTACTCATTGCAGGATAACAAATATAAATGGAGCCTATTCAATATCCGTTCTTCTCTAAACAACATATGCTTCCTTGCTCTGTAACATTGTATAACGTGGCCTTCATCACACATTAAATTCCCTTTTACCCATAACTGTATACAATTCATATAAAAGAGATCCCAGATGTGAACTCACTAAAGCCACAGAGGAACAAGCACAGAGGATAAACTGACTGACAGAGCAATGGGTCATTAGAGTTAAATAAATCCTGTAAGTCTGAGATAGGTCAACCTCAGCAGCTTGGAGGCTGAAAGAGAAATGGGCCAGATTTGGCTTGGTTGCGGAGAAACAAAAATCTCAAAGCATTTCAAGCTTTCAGTTGGGGATAGGAATGAATGCAGAATGTCCAAGAAGTGAGAATAAAAACCATGTACTAAAGATAGTGAGAAACAATTATATATATATAAAAAAATAGCAACTGTGGTGATTCAAGAAGCCATTATGTTTAATTTTATTTCCTACCCTACTTAATGGACTACTTGTTCTCTATTTGATGGAATCTTGTTCATCTTCATTTGCTCTGCCAGATTTGCTATCATGATATTCTTCATGGATAGCATTAGATATAGTGAATAAGGCACCGGCCTAGACACCATGGGCACAGGAGTTCTAGTTCTGCTTTAGGCACAAGCTTGGCCAAGTCACTCGCTCAGCCCTAGGAAGAACCGATAAGAGGAAACCATTTCTGAAATCTTGTCAAGAAACCTGCAGAGATTGAGAGAGAGATAGAGAGACAGAGGGGGGAGGAGGGAGAGAGAGAGAGGAGGGAGAGAAAGAGGAGAGGGGAGAGAGAGAGAGAGAGAGAGAGAGAGAGAACCATCACTATTCCTAGGGCACTGGTGGCAAACCTATGGCACGCGTGCCAGAGGCAGCACTCAGAGTCCTCTCTGTGGGCACGCGAGCCATTGCCCCAGCCCTGCCTTCCCCCATGGCCCCCTCCTCCTCAGCAGCCCCTTCCAGAGAGTTGCAGAGCAACGTAGCCAAGGACATGGCAGCCAGGTAGCGGGAACAAGACTCTGCCCTTGTGCTCCATCATGCACAGATGATGCTACAGGGCGCAGGTGAGGGCGTGGCTACCATGGCACTGCTGGGCCGCCTGGGCGATCTGCTGTGGCAGGCCATGGAGGTGATGGATGGCCCTGCAGGCAGGCAGGGTGCAGGGTGGTGGGCAGGGCAGGGTGGCTTTGAGGCACCCAGTCTCTAAAAAGTTCACCATCACTGTCCTAGAGGATAAGCCATGCTCTCTGCATGCTTTCCCTTCTTTCTTTAATTTTTCTAACCTTGTCATGAGACTATATTTTTTGGTATGTGTTTTTTTTTACCTTTACACTAACCATGTTCAACTCTGTTTAGATTTTTGTGATATCAGCCCATATTTTAAATCTATCCTTCCCAACTTGGTGTCCAGCCTCTATAAGTGTTGGGATTATAATGGGAAATCTCAGAGCTATATTTCCAACACACCTGGAAAGTCCCCCCCCCCCACTACTGATGGAACACGGGCTATTTTTTCAAGCAAATTAAATGCTAAACTAAGGATTTAGACTTAATAGGGAAATAAGGAGATTTGCAAAAATGTAGGGATTTTAGCCAGAAGGGGAGTTGTCTTACCTGAACGCCTTTTCTCAGCATGGAGATGGATAATCCACTAATGGGTTAACTTAATCCTCCTGCCCAATCAGATCAAGTCAGCCAAACTTGCCACGCCTGTCCTGTTTTCCCAGTCTTGACGAGAGCGCAGCTACTAACTGATAGCAAAACGTGTTGGCTCACAGAAACTGACCCTAGGCCTAAGGACCTGAATGGGTGGGTGTGGATTATCCATCTCCGTGCTGAGAAAAGGCGTTCAGGTAAGACAACGCTTCTCTAGCACTGGAGATGGATAAGCCACTAATGGGACATACCAAAGTCCACTTGTCCTATGGGAGGGAAGCGGGCAAGTTTGGAACTATGTTGCGGGGCACCACCTGCTGGAGAACCCTCCTGCCAAAGGATGCCTCAGCGGATGCGTACCTGTCCAGTTTGTAATGCTGTATAAACGACTAAGGGGAAGACCACGTGGCCACCCTACATACTTCCTCGATGGAAGCCTGCGTGGCCCAAGCCCCAGAAGTGGCTGCACTGCGCGTAGAGTGGACCATGACACGATGTTGAACCAGCAAGGACTTGGACTGGTACGCCCCTACAATGCAAGTTCTTAACCACCGGCCAATCGGTGGTTTTTCGATCCTTGGAAGAAGGGTGGAAGGAGACAAAAAATGCCTCAGAGCTGCAGAAGGCAGCCACCTGCCTGATATAATAACGGAGAGCCCGGCGGACATCCAGGGAATGCCATTGACATTCCAGATCATGGGAAGGATTAGGGCAGAAATCCGGGAAGACAATATCCTGGACCCTGTGAAAAAGAGAATTAACTTTGGGGACAAAGGTGGGGTCTAAGCGAAGGGTAACCCGGTCCCGGTGAAAGACATACAGATCGTCCCTGACTGAGAGAGCTGCCATCTCAGAAATATGTTGGGCCGAAGTAATAGCCATCAAGAAGGCAACCTTAAGAGATAAGGATCTCATGTCGCACGAACTGAGGGGTTCGAAAGGAGCCTTTGTGAGAGCCTGAAGGACCTGAGGCAAAACCCACGAGGGATATCTGTGGACTACAGGTGGCCTGGAATTAGTAGCACCCTTGAGGAAATATGGATCAAGGGATGTTGACCCAGAGAGTTAACAGTATCACAAGTAATCAAGGTAGAGAGGACTGCCACCTGTCTGTGCAAAGTGTTAGGTGCCAATCCTTTATTCAGCCCCTCCAGTAAATAGTCCAAAATATATGGGACGATCAATCTCAATAAAGGTAGTTGATGAGTGGAACACCACCGACAAAAAATCTGCCACATGGCATCGTAGATGCGGTTGGTAGCCAGCCTACAAAATGCCTGAATTATGTCAATGACCCCTGGCGAACAGGACTCCTGGGATAGGAGCCGGCGTTAAAGTGCCAAATGGCTAACTGGAGCCATTGAGGGTCCGGGTGAATCAGATCCCCCTGGGTCAGTGATTCACCCGGGTCTGGAAGAATTTTCCAAGGGCGCGATAGGGAAAGACCAACGAGGTCGGCAAACCAAGGTCTCCACGGCCAGAGAACCTCTGTCCTCTCCTGCAGAAGCTTGCGGATGACCGTTGGGAGAAGGGGAAGAGGGGGAAAGGCATAGAAGAAGCCTTCCGGCCATGGAACCTAAAGGGCATCTACTCTCTCTGCCCCCTGAACTGGGAAGCGCGAAAAAAATTGCGGGAGTTGCGTGTTTGCCTGGGAGGCAAACAGATCTATGATGGGAAGACCGAATCTGTGGGTGATTTCCCTGAATAAATTCGGGTGCAGACGCCATTCCGAGTGGTCCACGGTTGACCTGCTCAGGAAGTCTGCCCTTTTGTTTGCCTCTCCCAAGCTATGGTCCACACTGATCGAGGTGAGGTTGGTCTCTGCCCAGGACCCAGTTGCTGGGTCTTGGTCAGGAGAGCACAGGATCGGGTGCCCCCCGCCGGTTCACATGGGCCTTTGCCGCCACATTGTCCGTGAGGACGAGCATGTGTTGTTTCGCAATGCTGTGGCGGAAGTGGTGAAGGGCTAGATGTATGGCCCTGAGTTCTAGCCAATTGATATTGTGCCTCAGGTCTGACCGAGACCACCGTCCCTGGGCCCACTGCGACCGAATAGGCTGGCGTCCATCGTGATTGTGAGCCGACCAGGCTCCTTGAAAAGAGACCCTCTGGTCATGGTGGGAGAGATCCACCATCTGAGTGAACGTAGAACCTGTGATGGGATCCTTACCTCTCGGGTGGAAGTGCTGGTCCCCTGCTTCTGATAGGGAAGAAGAAACCACTGGAGGGACCGTGAGTGTAACCTGGCCCAGGGAACGATCGAGATACATGATATCATCTTTCCCAGAAGCCAGGAAAGACCGGAGGGTGACAGAGTCCTGTCCCTGCAGACCTTGAGAATCAGGTCCGGTATACTGTCCTGTATTCCTGGGACAGATAAACCCGACATTCTATTGTGTCTATTATGGTGCCTAAGTGGAGCAATCTTGTTGATGGGACTGTCTGACTTTTCTTGAAGTTAACTGAAAATCCATGACTCTGTAGGACCTCAATCACCAGTCTCAGGTCTCCCTGAGCCCCCCGGAGAGAGGACAACTGTATTAAGATGTCGTCCAGGTAGCATGGCACATTGCACGACAGGTATGCAGCAAGAACCGCCAGAACCTTGGAAAACACCCTTGGGGCCGATGACAGCCCGAATGGAAGTGCCCTGTATGGATAATGATGCCCCATGTAACCGAACCTGAGAAACCGGCAGTGGCCGGGGATGATGGGGATGTGTAGGTATGCCTCGGTGAGGTCCACGGATGTGAGAAAGTCCCCCTTTCGGATGCTGCCTAGGATGGACTGAAGTGTTTGCATTTTGAACCTTCGGTATGCCAGATAAAGATTCAGGCGTTTTAGGTCTAAGATTGCTCTCCAACCTCCCGAGATCTTGGGGAGCACAAAGAGAATGGAGTAGAATCTGTGACCTCGTTGAACCGGAGGTACTGGTTCTATGGCCTTTATGTCCAATAAGTGATGTATGGCCTCCTGCATGAGACCTTTCCTTAGAGACCTTTTTGATTGAGGGAAAGAAATAAACCATCTTGGTGGACCGGAAATGAATTCCAGAGATAGGCCAGATGTCTGTGGTGGTGACCTCCCATTGAGTGACAAAGAGGGAAAGCCTTCCCCCTATGGGAGGATCCACTGGGGAGTCACTTCCTGCGAAAGGGACGTCCCCCGCCTCAAAAGGCCATTTGGACTGAAACTGCTGCCTGGGTCTTGGGGCCGGTCTGTCAACCGGACGGTCCTGTCTGGGAGTGAAGGGCCGAGAATGTTGTGTGGTTGGAGGAGGAGTGGCAGACCAAAAGAATTGTCTACAGTTATAAGGAGTAGTCCGCCTATTGGACTGCTTAGTAAGGTGAATCTTCATTTTGTCCTTATTCTCAGTCAGAAATGGGGCTAAGGCATCCCCAAATAATTTGCTACCTTGGTATGGAGCTGCTGCCAGACGCCACTTAGACTTGGTGTCTGTCTGCCAGTGTCTTAGCCATAGCATGCAGCGGGCTGTCACATTGAACGCCAAGGATCTGGAAGAAAACCATGCAGTGTGTAGAGTTGCATCGGAAGCGTATTCCATCACGGCCACTAACTTGCTCAGGTCCTGATGTGTGCGGACATCGTCCGGGGGAATCCTAGCTTGGAGCTGACAAAGCCAGATAAGGGTGGATCTAGTGAAGAAGGAGGCTGAAGTGGAAGCCCTGATAGACCACGCCGCCGCCTGGTGTGACCTTCTAAATGTCATTTCCAATCTGCGTTCCTCAGATTTTAAGGCCTCTGCCATATTCCCAGAAATAGTGAAAGGGGAGAAAAGGTGAGACAGGGGCTCATCCACCGTGGGAATGTTCAGTGCCTCATCTAATTCTGAGGCCATACTAAACAACTTCTTATCGTTCCCACCTGGAAGAGGGAAGGTACCTGGGGAAGCCCATTGTTTCTTAACTGCATTGAGGAACAATGCTGGACATGGAACATGGTGCTGAGTGACCACCGGTTCAATGAAGATGGGGTCTGCCTCTGAATCCATTGCAGATGCCGCTGGAGTGGACTGGTCAGGTCCCACGTGCGCTGCAGAACTAGCCTTGTGAAGAAGGGGTAGAAAAAGGGATGGATTAAATAGACTGCCGAACTGGGGCGGATCCGGGGCCGATTCCTCCTCTGACCACAAGGCGTCAAGCGCCTTATCCTGCTCTGGGTTTAATGAGATCCCGATATAAGAAGAATGGGAAGGGGAAGGAGGATCCTGAGAACTGTGATGCACTGGATGCGAGAGAGGGAGGGAAAGCAAGGATTACGCTCTGGGTACCGATGGAGTCCTGACCGCAAGGGCCCGCCCCACTGCCTGAGCCACCAGGACCTGGAGCCTATCGTCTAGGGAAGGAAGGGCGGACTCCTCCCCTCTGAGCCCTGCGGCTGTGGGTGTAAAGGTGGCCTCTGCGGCCTGCTGGACCTGTGGGGTGATAGGAGACCTGAATATATGTGCTTCAGGTTCTAGAGCGGCTTGGCCGCAGGAAGTTTCCACCGGTGACCAGACTTCCTGAGGAGAAGAGGAAAGACCAAGAGGCAAATCAAAAAAGGTGGACTCAGTCTGAGCAGTCTCGGCCCTGGCCTGTTTTTCAGCCTTTGAGAACTCTTTTTCCAGTGCCTGGTGTCTCCTGCTGGCCTGTTTTTCAGCCAATTTGGAGGTTTTCCCCCCAGAAGCAACCTTGGGTTTGACCTTGGCTGCGATCCTACCAGCAGCCTCTTGGGTAGGGGATCTGTGCCTTTTCTGGACTGAGGAGGGAGGAGAGTCATCCCTGGATTAGGAGGCCATGTTATCCTGTTATGAAAACTTCAGGTGCGCGAGAAGGTGCACCTAGGAAAGGGATCAATTGGCTGATAAGGGTGTAGGGCAACGGCTGAAAATAGACTGCCCTTCCCCCTCCTGGTCACCGAACCAATGGTATCCAAAAGACCGGTTCTACTCGCAGCCGCTATGATTTCCACCAAAAGGTGGATTGCGGTCTGCTAGTGAGGCTTGCTATGTTGCCAGGCCAGCAATATAAAAAGGTGGCAACTGCACAGTGTCAGAGGCTAGAATTACTGTAATCAGCCAGCCAAGTGGTGACCAGGACTTGAGACACCAGAAGGCCCAATGAAAACTCTTGGGCCTATACCAAGGAATGAAAAGAAAAATTCTAAATGCCACAAGGGGAATCTCCAAGGATGACCAGAGAGAAATTTTCTCCAGGCAAACCTTGGCTGTAAGAACCTGGGACGGGCCCTTGTTAGAGAAGGCCTCAGTGAGACCTTAATTGGAACACTAGAATCCTCCAAAATGGCGGCTTTGGTGGGAAGACGAAGCTTCCAAGATGGCAGCCGTAGTGTGCGGGGCCCCTGTCCAGGCCTAGGCTTTCTAATTAGGATGGATGGATAACCAGGGACTGAGTGCCATGGAGGGGAAAAAAACCCTTAACTGAAGCTAACTACTGCCGAAATGGGTGGAAAACTCTTGCTCCACACCCTCTCTGCCTCCCCTTGGAACTGGCAAGGCTTTGGGATGACCATGCGATCCGCAAAATGGCGGCCGCGCCTCAAGCTCCGTTCACCCCCTCCAATTCTGAATGGCTAGAAAACTTACCTGGCTTGTTGCATGCTCCTCGGGAGGAGACAGGGGCCCTCCCCAGCTGATCGGCGGCATTTGGATAAATGCTGGAAGTCTCACGAGGCAATCCAGACGCTTTAAGGCTGTCGGAGCTGCAGCCACAGGCTCCGACGCCGGAGGTGAGCTGGAGGGAATGGGGGGGGGGGGAAATTTGCAACAGCGTTGTACTGGAAAGGGAAGAAAGAATGGAAATCCCTTTCCCAGAGCGAAAGAGAAAAAAACGGAGGCCTCCGTTTGAAACTGAATCCCAATGGGGATCTGTGAGGAATAGTCCTCCAGAGGAGCGCTGGTCCAGCGCTACTCAGAGGGCTAAGAGTTATAGGAATTGTAGTAAAGTTATTAGAACCTAATGGATAATCCACTAATAGGATAAAACTACCTGCCTGTGAGCCAAACCTGCACATCTGATCATGGGCAAGATCAAGTCAAGACTGAGAAAACAGGCCCAGGACAGGTGTGGCAAGTTTGGCTGACTTGATCTGATTGGGCAGGATGATTAAGTTAACCCATTACTGGATTATCCATTTCCAGTGCTGGAGAATAATGGGTTGCTTTGGGTGGATCTAGCCACTGTGGTTGAAAAATGTGATCCACTGACTCCAACCAACATAGCTTGTTGAGAAAGATTAAACAAACTAGGGTTCTTATGCAATATATAAACTGATGTGATGTATAAACTTGATTAAATTTTTTAACAGCCAAATGAAATACTCCCTTAATTGGTAAAATCACATATTCTTTAAAAATTTCCTTCCACATTTTACCCCCACCCCATTAATGTGTGCTAGCAACACAGAAAAGAGGATAAGATAACTGTAGTGTTTATAGCAGCCTTCTCCAACCAAGTGATCTCCAAATGGGCTCCAACATCCTCTAATCCAGTGGTTCTCAACCTTTTTAATACCGCAACCCCCAACTGATTGTAAGTCAAGGACTACTCAACCGGTCGTAAGTCGAGGACTACTCAACTGGTGCAGCACTGTTTGTAGAATGGGACTTTTGGCAGGCTCAGCAGGGCAGAGGCAGCCTGGACAATTCCTATTGGCTTTTGAAAGCCAATAGAATTAGACTCTATTCAAGAGAGTCTATTCTATTGGCTTTCAAAAACCAATAGAATAAAAGGGAGTAGCACAGCTAAGGAAAAGGGGGAAAAAATGGCGGACTGCGTTGTTTGGCGGCCCCTGTGAAATGGTCGTTCGACCCCAAATGGGGTCCCGACCCACAGGTTGAGAACTGCTGCTCTAATCCCCAGATAACCTGGCCACTAACTACATTGCTCTAAAGATTATAGAACTCAAAATCCAGCATTATCTACTTGGGACAGAATTGCCTACAATAAAAATACATCCCCTTTTTCTTCAATTCAGGTTGAAGCCAGGAATTTAAAGCACAAATTCCACTCATCCTATTAAAAAATCTTAGAAATAATTTGTCATTCTGGTGGAACTTGTCTAAGTAGTTGTTTCTAAAGCCTTGGCGTTAAAAACTTGAGATTCGGATGCATTTGGTCCAAATACTTGAAGCCATCTGGTTGGTGCTCAGCCTTTACCTTCTGTCTTCCACCTCCACCCCAACAGTAGATTTATTTTGATTTACACAGATAAAGATAAGAATCAATCCAAGCTGTACCAAAAAAATAAATTCTGCCTACATGCAAGCTGCCAAGTTCTACCAATGAACATATCAACCTACTAAGCAATGTATGACTCAACTGGCATGCATATGGTGGAAGTCACGCATGCAAGCTAGCCAAGGCCAGGATATCTGCCATAATTCAATAGGATTTCCGTTACACATATGGGGCAAAATAAAACTCCAGCATTCGGAGGAAATAACTGCACCACCTAGAAAGCATCCATCTCCTATAGTATGCTTTTCTAAAATGACTGCTGGATTCAGGAACAAAAATCCAGAATACATCGGAGGAAAATAAATGAGTCCTTCAATCTTTTCCAGTACAATACAGTACTGGGTTATCATCTGTGAAATAAGAAAAGAAAGATTTCCTTCACCACAGAATAATTATAACAAAGCTCTGTATCTTGTACAAACAACATTCCTATACTCCTTGGTGATATCTGAGCTTGGTTGTTTTCTTGCAGATGTTTCATTATTCAAACTAGGTAACATCATGAGTGCTAGTGATTACCAAGCTAAGAGACCACCAAAGACTCATTATTTCAACCCTGAGCTACAAATATTTTCCTTTATTTCTGTACACTTATAGGCAGATCTGAGCCTTGCCAAAGTTTTTTCTTTGACTAATAACATGCTGGTTGACAAATTCAGGAGTTCTAGTTTCCATCTCATTTGAAGAGGCACCAGATTTGGAAAGTCTGTATTAATCTTTTACTTAAGAAACCTTACCTTTAGTTAATAGTCTAGATCAGGGCTTTTCAACCGGTGGTACGCGTACCACCTGTGGTACATTAGCACATGGCAGGTGGTACGCGACCCTGCCAAGCTAAGTGTAATGGGGGAGGGAACGAGCCAGCACAGGGCAGGACTTACTGTGAGAGAGTCCTCTGGAGCTGCAGTGTGGCTGGGGCGAGGCAAAAGTCGCAGGCTCACTTCCGGCTCACCCAGATGAGAAAGGAGGAGGGGGGGCAGAGACAGGAGAGGCTATAAAAGGAGGCAGTTTGGGAGGGAGAGGGAGAGAAAAAAAGAGGTAGCCTTGGGGGGGAGGTGGAGTCAGCTCTAGCTTCACCAAAGGGAAAGAAGGAGGAGGGTCAGAGAAGAGGAGAGGAGATCAAGCAGGCCCGCCATGAGCCGATCTACAACTTATATGGCAGCCACCTGTGCTGGCAGCAACAAACAGGCAAGAAATGCAGTGGAGGAGGGGTCGCCCTCCATGAGGAAGAAAGGCAACAATGAAGAAAGGCAGCATCGGCTGGAGGTGAGGCAGGGAGGGAGGGAGATGGAGAGTGGAAGGATTCTTATGTGCTTTTGTGACTTTGAAGTTCTGGGATTTGTGCAATGTGGGCTTTGCGTTCTTAAGGAGTGTTTGGCAATTTCTATTTGGCTGATGGCTGATGGCTGATGTCTTGTGTTAGCTTATATTGCTCTGCTATTGTTAGCTGTAAGTTTTGCTGCAAGAAATTTTGTAGTATTTTTCTCCTGAATGGATGTTGCCTGTAGCATTCCTTTACTTGTGAATGGAGCCATTTGGGGAGGCTACCTTAGCCGGCAGCCAGTACTTACTACATTTTTTTTCTCCCTTAAGTGCCAACTGCCAGCTCCTTAACTTTCCTTTCTAGGCTGCCAGCTCCTTAACTTTCCTTTCTAGCCAGTAGCTAATTCTTAAAGGGGAATGCACCTTTTTAAACTACTTCCCTCAGCAGCTTGTGTTTTTTGTCTCTGGAGGCTTTTCCTTGTTTGATGAATATATAGAAGAGGGAAAATATGGGGGGGGGAATTCAAATTCTTCCTTCAGAAGGAGATGGGAATGAGAAAGAGGGAGGCAGGGAAGGAAGGAGGCAGGGAAGGAAGTCCTGCCTTAGCACTTGGCCATCAGCAGCCCTGCCATTGACTTTGCTTGTCAAAAAGTTGCATTAGGGGATCACATGACCCTGGGATACTGTGACCATCATAAATATGAATCAGTTGCCAAGCATCCAAATATAAATCACATGACCATGGGCATGCTGCAGTGATCGTAAGTGTGAAAAATGGTCATAAGTCATTTCAGTGCAATTGCAACTTTGGACAGGGTTTTTTTTTTTGTCATCAAGTTTTTGACACCTTGCTAGGTGGTACTCAAATATTGCCATATCCCAAAAGTGGTACAATCGGTGAAAAGGTTGAAAAGCTCTGTTCTAGATGATATGGCAGCATATAGAGAGCCCATTTTGTGTAATGATTAAGGCATGTGGCTAGAAATTAGGAGACTGAGTTTTACTCCCACCTTAGACACAAAGCAACTTGGTCAACCTTGGCCCCAGGAAGAAGGCAACAGCAAATCACTTCTGAAAAATACAAGGACTTATCAGACTGATTCAAAGAAAAAAAAATAGTTCTTACATATAGCCTTGTATGGCAAAGTATTCCTTTTTATCTTTCTTGAATTTACTACCAATCAAGTTTACATCTATGTATTATGGGAGAGGGATAAAGAGTATTTTTTCTTTCTCACCTTTATTGCTATAATATATGATTTCATCTTTAAGGTTCACATATTTTTTCTTAGTAACCATTTGGTTCACATTCACGCACTATATTTTGAAACATAATTTTGGGCTTTCTATCTGTAAATGCTTTCTTTCCTTATTTATGCAGGAAATAAAATTTATTTATTTGGTTTGCTTATTTTTTTTTTATTGAAAGTTTTTTAAATTTTACAAAACAAATCCCCTCCCCAAACCCCCCCACCCTCCCATACCCTCCCCCACCTCCCCAAACCTCCCAAACCCTCCCCCAACCTTCCCAGAGCTGAGTACAGGCTTAATTAAAATTTTTCAGAAAAAGAAAAGAAAAACTTAAAACACATATAAATCCTAAACAAATCTAAATACATTAAATTAAATAGGTTATCTTCTCTAAAAAAATAATAATTGCAATCATTAAACACATTATAATATACTCTAAACATTTTCTAGTATCATACTTATATTATTATCCATCATTCTGTATAAACTCCCTCCAAAACACAAATTTAAACATTACTTTCTTTGAATATCTATACCTACAATATAAAATCTAATCTCTCCCTCTTTCTTTATCCTAGAACACAAAAATAAACATATAAACCTTCATTATACCATTAAAACTAAATACTCTTTGAATACTTAAACTAAATACTTAAACTTAAACTTCTTATCTAAGATTTTCATTCAATCTCCATAATCTTCTCTCCTATCAAAAAAAAAACCTTAAAAGACATATAAATCCTAAACAAATCTAGGTACATTTAATTAAACAAGTTATCTTCTCTTAAAAATAATAATAATAATAATAATAAAAACCCAATCATTAAACACATTATAATATACTCTGAACATTTTCATATCATACTTATATTATTATCCATCATTCTTTATAAACTCCCTCCAAAACACAAATTTGAACATTACTTAAAACATTAGAATTCCCT